GTTTTTGTACTGTGCAAAATTAGGTCAAAATCGAATTGGGGATAAAATTAGGGCGAAATCAATTTGGGGCAAATTTGGTTAAAAAACGTATTTTGAGAATACGTTTTTGTACTGTGCAAAATTAGGTCAAACTCGATTTGGGGATACAATTAGGGCAAAATCAATTTGGGGCAAATTTGGTTAAAAAACGTATTTTGAGAATACGTTTTACTTTTCCAAATATTATTTTCCAATAAAATTAGTTTTTTAAAATTAAAAATATTAATTTTAAATATTTTTTCAGAAAAACGTATTTCGGTAATACGTTTTTTAACCTATTTTAATTAATTTAATTACGATAATCACCTTAATTAATTTTTTTAAAAAACACGTATTCTCAGAATACGTTTTTCAGCAAAAAACGTATTCCGAGAATACGTGCTTTTGATTTTTTTCCACTTCTTTTATTTTTTTTTTATTTATGTCCACTTAATTTTTTTTATTTTTATATAAATAAATAAATCTCTATACTTAGTTTTATGTTATGAACCATTGAAACAATTAGAATCTATATGTCTCTAAATATCCAAAATCTCTAAAAAACATGAAAGACAAAAATTAAAGTCCAAAGTGGGGTTTGTAGTATACTTTGGTCTTGAGACCGCGATCCACAAAAGCATGGGACTTTCCCCTTACTTGGGAGAGAGAGGGAAGATATAGCATGTCACAGCAAATAATTTTTTCAAGTTGCTAATCTGTTTCAAATATATTACAGTACAAACCCAGAGCAAAAAATAATAATAATAATAACGTTCAAAAGTCCCGAATTTTCCTAATTGCAAAAAATAACCAAAATAAATAAAAAAAAAAAATTATAAAAAAGTGATAAAGTTCAAAAGTCCCAGACAAAAGTTGTTGGACCCCAGTTAAGCCTCTCTCGATACAACAATATTTTTCACTTCAGATTCCAATAAGATGTGTTTTTGTTTTGTTCCTCGATCGGTTGGTGAAAGATTTCATGATTAGATGTTTGAAAATAATGAATGAATACAAAGTTAACATATGCAACACTTTATAAGTGCTTATTAAGTAAAAGTCAGTTAACATAGATATTATAAAATAATTATTTTAGTGTGTCGTCCCAAAATTATTTAAAACACAAAAATAATTATGAATATGGAGGTCAGTAGTTATTTCGAATTACTAGGTATAGCATTAAAATGATAAAGTAATGGTCGTATGCCGAAATGACTCGGTGAATTACCATCTTGAAAAGAATAATTAAATTATTTATGACATATATTTTTTAAAAAATTCAGAAATGACTGAATGATTTAGTAGCTCATTAAGCAAAAATTATGAAGTATCATAAAATTTAGAATAATATAGCTAACTTACGTCTAGTGTAGTACATGACTACATGTATTAGTTGAAGAAAAAAAAAAAAAAGGAATATACTGTAGATTCTATTGAGTTCCAGGTCGAAATTATCGCGTGCTTACAATTAAAGATCAATAATTACGTTGTCAACCTGGAAATTAACAAGACAAAATTGTAACTTATGTCATGTAACTTATGGCATGTGACAATAATAAACTACATCATTTTGTTTTGTTAAATTAGAACATTAATTTGAAAAATCACGCACTTAATGTCTACAATTTATCGAATTTCGCCAATTTTCACCTACATATTAGACAATAACTTGCAATTTACTTGTAAGTTGTACGTCAATTGGGCATTAAGTGTGTATTTTTTCAAATTACTGTCTTAATTTGCCAAAACTAAAATATCTATGTGTATATATACATACACTACAAAAAAAATGTTATATTCCAACAGAAAATCCTATGGTAATATATTCCAATGAAAATTTCAACGGATATTCCAATGGTATAGCTTCCGTTGGAATGATTCCAAAAAAATACCATACAACAAAGTTAAAAACAAAAAAGAAGCTTCAAGCTGTCCCAAGAGAGGGAGGACCGGGTGGGGAGACAGAACGAGAAAAGGCCTCAAATTTAGACGGGACGTGTGATGCGGAGGCTTAAGTCCCCAAGGACGTACTGGGAAGTAAGTCCCCCACCATTGAGTTTTTTAAAGATGAGGTTTTATGGAGGAAAAATACACAAAAAAAGTTATACCTCTAAGACAAGTCCCCCCTACTAAATTATCCTAACTATTGTAACTCAAGCCATCTTTCTCAATTCTAAAATGTTTATAGAACATCAAAGATGGGATCTTCTGTATTGAGAGGATTAAAGTCAATCTTCATTCTCCTCTGTCAAGAATCATATAATGACTATAAGTTAAAACAATAAGAAAAATACTAAGGAAAGAAATGAGCAAGTTATGTAGTTAGAAATCTTGCCTAAAAGTGGTGCAAAGGCGGAAATTCCAACGAAAATATTCCGTTGGAATGTATTGTTCATTGGAATTTTAGATGGAATTTGATGATTCCAACGGCTATATTACCAACGGCTTTTAACCGTTGGAATATGCAATTTCCGTTGGAATTTTTATTTCCACCACTGATGGAAAATCTACTGTTGGAATCGTCAAATTCCAACGGAAATTCCAATGGAATATTTTTGTTGGAATTTCTGTTGGAATAGTTCCAACGGAAATAATAGTATTGAAATATTCATTGGAATTGCCGTTGGGATTTTATTATAATATATTTCTGTTGGAATTTCTATCGTTTCTTGTAG